TTGTTTGTACCCACGCCTTCAGGTGGGTGCAGGCACAGAAAACAAAAGGAGTAGGTGGCTGGAGTGCCTTGTTTTCCTTTCCAGGGAGTGCCAGAGTGTATCTTCTAACCATCATTCTTGATGTGTTAGTGTTTTGTCAGATCTAGTTCCCACACAACCACTCTATTCTTCTTGGGGAGGTGAGGAAGGGTGTGTTGACTCAGCTGCACACAATTTGAATTTCTGGGACTTTTCTCCCCTTTTATTTCCTTTACTGAAAGCAAAACAAAAAAATGCACGGGCAGTTTTGTCAGCCCAGACAATTAAAGCTGTCCTCCAAAGACAATGAAGTCCAACGGTCCTCTGCCAGTAACACACTGTCATTGCTTTTACAGTGCCCAAATAGTTCCGTGTCCAACCCCGAGCCCTGACAGCCGCGCTTACCTCCTCCGGGCTCCTGTCTTACCACATACCCTCTCCAGACCTGTGTCCCTGGCTCTCTAGGACATCCAAAGGCAAAGATGAAGGAAGAGTTTCCTGCCAGAGTGCCAGATCAAGAACAATCTTTGCTCTGTATTGCACGTTAATACCTTTAAGGCCAGACTCCTTTGCAAGATGTGTATGCGTGGAGAAAAAAAACCTTTCACTTCCGAATATCTTAACATCACTAATCAGTTTCTGCTGCCTTGTCTAAATAAATTATAGTATTTGATTATCACAAGTCTTACCAAAGGTTGAGATTTCCTCCAAAAACTGCCTCTGGTTTTGGAATTCTAGGTCTTTAAAGGTATTTTTTAAATCTGGCTTGGTTAGGTTTTCAAAATGGCAAGCAAGGACCTAGAGCCCACCCTTAGAAATAAGATATTTTGACAATGTTTATCAACCAATCCACTGTCATACGAAAATACACTTCTTGCCAATTAATCAGCAGAGCTGCAGAAATAGGTGGAATACCGGATAATGGAAAGTTTAAACTTGAAGTCAGGACAGCTCAGGGGTGATGTCTTTCTGACATTAAGCTGGAGTCCCCATCACCTCCCAGTATTTCCCTGTCGTTCCCTTTCCTTTCCCCTTCCCTTTCAATACTTCAATGACTGCAGCTTCTGCGAGTGCTATAGGTAAGCTTATACTGCTAGGAGGAGTTATGAAGTTACAGCTAAGGAAGAGTATTTCTAAGCAATATTCCCAAACAGAAATAACACCACAATCAAGAGGAGCGATCTCTCCCGCATCAAACCCTAAAATAATCCCTTCCTTCTCCTCCTCCCCAGACTTGCTGACTTTCCCCAACGCCCTTCCCATATCATTATGGAGCATCTTTCCCAGTAGTTAGCTAACTGGAAAGGGCAGCGTTGTTCTCTTCCCGCTTTCCACGTGGATAGAGAGCTGTTCACACTCTGGAAACAGTTAGAGACTGCAGGAGGGATAAGGCTTTTGTTACAGTCTAGCTATTACTGCCCACGAACTTAAACTTGGCTCTTCTAAATACCAGACTTGTCGTCACTTGCAATTTATATTAGACTGGGCTCTATGCTGCCAAAAAGAGGAGAAAAAAAAAAAAAA